CAAAAGTTGCTTTTGAATATGAGCTCATAAAATTAGTCCCCCAATATTTTCTTTCCCCTGATGAACCTTTTGGCTCCAACTTCCGAATGGAGAAATAGAAAGTTTTTTTCTCCATCATGGAGAAATAAAGTTTTTTTTTCTCCATCATGGAGAAATAGATTTGTGCATTCGTGGATTCCAGATTCCACTCCACCTGGCGACGAGGATGCAGTGCCTGAGTAGCCGCTTTGAATCGTATCCAAATTCGGGTCGAGCTTTTTTCATTTCATGCAGGTGACATGACCGTTATTTTATATTGCAATTTGTTTGGCCACGCAACCCGCTTGAGAAACGATGACACCCCGTCTGTCCCCTTGCCCCTATTTATGAAAATTACCCCGCCTTGCAGAATTCCCACAGTTGACCCCTCGCGGTACGGATTTTCGTCATTTGCCGGGTGTCGCTCGTTTTGCGTGCGACCTACAGATGGTGTGGGTCGAGTGCAAGACGATGGCTGTAGGTAGAGTGGGTGGGTCAATTAATTTTTGCACTTTGTTGGAAGCGAGCCTTGCTGGCACAGATCTTCAGTCTCAGTTTCAGTATTATTGCGGCGGGACATTAAATAAACCTGCGAAGATGAGACCGTTGCAACCGGTCAAACGAGTAGAATTTGGGTCAAAAACAGCATCGCTATGGACTCTTTTGTTGATCATCCTTATTTTCAATTGCACTTTGAAATCGTATGAGAGTGAAACACTAGTTGTTGACGAAACTATATCGTGTAACCTGGCTTCGGCAGGCAATAGCTATCCTTTCTTTGATCATTGCGAAAACGCCTCTTGCGGATGGAAAGAGGCGCAGTTTGCAAAGTACATTTCATCAAATCCGCAAAGAAACTATTTTTCGCACTTTTTTGCACTGGGAGGTTTGCGACGGGGAATCGAAGTCGGCGTACAAGATGGTCGTTTCTCTGAAATATTTTTGCAGCAAAACTCTAAACTACTTTTGGACAAATGGTCATGGGTACTCGTAGATCCCCATCCAACCCCATTTTTAAAAAGAAGATTAGGGATAAACGACGAGATAGGCTCCTGGGAGCAAAAAGGATATCTTAGAAATGTAAATTTGACATTTGAGAAAAGAACGTCCAGAGATGAAAAGTTGCTAAGCAAATATGCCGAAGGATTTTTCGATTTTGTTTACCTTGATGGAGTTCATACCTATGACTCGGTTCGCTCTGAGCTTCCGATATGGTGGAAAAAAGTACGATCCGGTGGTGTACTAGCGGGTCACGACTATTGTAATTATGGTGAAAATGGACTCTCCTGCAGAGGCTGTAGGTTTGTTCCGAAGTGCACACCTTATACTGAGCTTGATATTGAGTCCGCAAGGACCAGAAAGGGACTGTCGTCAAACCAAAACGGAGTAGTTGTGGCTATACATGAATGGATATTGGAGGAGGTCGCCGACCTCAATCTCACGCTGTACCACACCATTGAAAATTTCACGCGAGAAAGTTTGACGAGAGATGGATTTGATTTCGATTTGGTCATTCGGAGGGATCGAAACCCCTCTTGGTTTGTTGTCAAACCATGATTCACTACCTCTACTTGGTGTTGAAATTTAGATTTCATTTGTTGTGATTTTGTTGCAATGCTTCGCATATTAGAGCTTATTTTCAATTTTCAACGAATTATTTAGTTTCAGTTTATTGACACGTCCGAATCTCGAATACACTTGCTACTCCAAGAATAACAACGACAAGATTTTTCGAAAGACGACAATAACAATAACGCGCAGCACATTTCTCTCCGAGCTGGCGCAGCTTCTTATCATTCAAATGGGTCGTAGTAGATTCATTGATTGTGCCACCTGCAATGATCGATCTACACACGAACACACAAACATTTAAGTGCGGATTGGCAATCCACGCCTACTACATTAAGAAGCAACTTGTCGAAACCAGAAACGTGCTAACCCAACCTTCACAGAAGAGTCACAGAGAAAATTGTGGATGTCTATCCTTTAGTCAGGGGGGCCAAAGGATTGTCAGACACCTCAAATTTTGCATGTTAAAATTGGAGGTGTCACACCTTGTCGATGTGTCACACCTTGAATTTCCGACATTTTCCATTGCATCAATCGCAAGACATAAGGGCATCAAACTACACTTTAGCGCATCCAAGTACACTCGGAAGGCCAATAAATAATATATATGGTAATTACGATAACATAGTCGTAGTCTGGTCCACTTATTGCCTCAATGTACTTCATGTTTGCCATCTTTGCATTGTCAGATGTCATATTCCATTTGACTCCTTCCTTGGATGCAAGGGACATTGAGTCTAGGAAGCCCAATCCAAAGATGCTGGCATTATGCCAATCTACCGAGCATGACTTGCCTTTGTTTACTCCCTTGGAAGGGAAGTTGTGCAAGGGGGTCTTGCAGATGGTGCATCGAGTGTATGATTTTGTCCTTGCCAAATATTGCTTCTTGGTGCAGTCTTTCTTTCTGAGGATTGAATGGGATCAAAATCCCACATCACCTGGGTAACATGTGAACCTTGGTTTGTAGTTCATCTGGCACGAGAGCCGGTCGCGGAACTTATGGAAAGTCATTGGCGTGACTACTTTCCAAGTAGGATCCAACAGTCCTTTGGTACATTCCAAGTAAATGTTGTATGCGGTAGTAATGGCAAGCGTAAGAGCATGAAGCCCTGCAGAATGCCAATACTTTCTCAAACTGTAATGGAGGCAACAGCGAGCCATTATACCATCAGTGTTGTTGACCTGACAATTGTAGCTGAGGTAGAGGATCCTTGCGTCATTCATCTCAACAGCCCATTTTCTCTTTTCAGCACCAGTACCTCTCTCTTTCTTGACAACAAAGAGTTGATTGGAGTTGAGAGCATTCACAGAGGAAATGTTGGTGGACCCAGTGCTCTGGAACGAGACATGAGTTTGTGTGTAAGCCTTCTTCTCGCCAGATTGTGGAAACGACTTGACAGCCATGATGGGTTGGATGAATCTTGTAGCCTTGGTGCGATCATCTGATCCTGTTTTCAGATGATGAAAGTAGCACTTTGGGACACCTTGGGGGAGTTGATCTCTACGGCATGTCATGGTGGCAGCAAATCCGATGCTGCCAAGGTGCCATGATTCCGCACCCTGAGCACCCTGAGAAGAAGCTGCCCAGAACCAAGTGAGGGGGCTCCCTGAAGATCTCTGGAGATCATGGTAGAGATCATCGCTGCAATCATTCTGACTTCATTTAGCCCTTGTGCACCAAATCCTGTAGGACGATGATGCAAGTTGTGGCAATGGATGTATGCTCGTGGACAACACCGAGATGCATCAGTTACAATCGTGACTTGACCTCCTTTGGTAGCTCCAGGCTTCCCTGACACAAGGACCAACAAGCATAGGTATTAGATACATTCGATGTTTAGCAAACATTAGCAAGCGCTTCTTGACAGTCCAACACAAACTTCTTCTTCTTACCTACAATCCGTTTGACTAGGCCACTCTCCCCGTATCCCATGAACTTCCATGTCATCTGGTCACAACATTGGTCAAGCTCCACATGCAGTGTCAAGCTGTTGCAGTTATTAACAATGATTTGATATGCCATGTCATACTTGTGTGCAGGATTGTAGCAAGCATACCCACAAGTGAAGCTCTTGTTGTTGCCGTTGTACTTGATTACCCTTTTGATGTGTCACCATCAACTAAGGGTCATGGCGGTTGCCACTTCTTAATCATAGCATGAACAAGATGGATCCCCTTGGCGGTAAACGGCACCCTTGCTTCCTCCACGGACACCATCTTGAACCATAATGCCATGAAAGACCACAAGTTCTCTTGCCAGAACATCATGGATTATGTGGCCATATGATCCACCAATACCATTCTGGCCTGCATATGTCCGAGTGAATTTTTCAAGTTCAAAATAGAAGCCTTTCCATGGATCCTGTTTGATTCCGGACCTCTTGGGGTCACAGATAGGATACAGGAGTTGGAAAAAGAACAGGGCATCATCTTCCTCCATTCGTCCCTTGGCGAGGCCAAGCTTCTTGAGTTTGGTGGCATTCAAGGATCCCTTTTGGCTATCTGGAAACATGTTTTGTGTTGTAGTGCCACTTCAGAAAGCATTGGTTCCTGCTTCTTCATGATTGTGCTCCCAAGGACCATAGTGAAACTCCCATCCATTGCATGTTCTTTGTCCATTCATAGAAGGACAACATTTGGCACCAGCCGGTAGCTCGTGGCCTTGGTACTTTCTAGACTTGTCTACCTTGCCTCGGTAGATCACGTGGGGCCAATTTCTTTGGGTGTCAAATGGAATCTCACCAGTGGCAACTCTTGGTTCAGGAGCTGGGTCTTTGTGGCCGGCAGGAAGACCAGCAATCTTAACATCAGGCTCTAGGTCCATCAGGTTCAGAATAAGATCTTTCTTTTTGATGGACTGATGGTCTTTGGAGCCTTTGGGTTTGCCAACAACACACAATTGTAGCATTTGTTCCAATTGTGCTTCTTCAGCTTCACAATCAAGGTGTTGGAAGTCTTCCTCGGTCTCAATGTTGTGGTTGTCAGGCTCGTCTAGGTCCAGTGCATCTTCATGGTCAGAGTCTACCAACTCTTCTGGTGAATCAGTTGGGACACTGCTGGAGACTGATTCGGCTGCTGGCGACAGCTGAGTGATAGAGGAGATGTCGGATAGGAGACTTAATCCCGCTGGGGAACCTCCTATTACCACACCACTCCTTCCCGGGTTAAGAACAGAGCCATCTGGTAGTAATTGATCACCAGTAGATGTTTATACACTTTTGTTTGGTTGAGTTTGACGGACTAGAGGCATGATTTTCTTCTTGTGATTTCTGACAAAAATATGAGTTATGACACATTTTGGGTCGAGGTGTAACACATTTTGGGTTGAGGTGTAACACATTTTGCCGGGTCCACATGAAAACCCTACTGCAACTTTTGAACCATAGTTCGGATACTAGCTTCCAGTATGGCGTTGGAATCGTTGAAGGATGGCGCGTATGTTTGTAGTAGACAGTGATTACTAGATGATTAATCTGAGGGAGATTCATGCCAGCAAAATTGGGGTCAAGGTGTCACACTGTATGCGCAAGTGCGATCGCCCTGGCTAAACAATAAAGAGGCAGTTGAAAGTGCTTATGTGGACCTTTTGACTAAGGTCTAGTTCTGTATCCAACAGAAGGAGCTTCTACAGTCCTAATACCTTGTGCTTGTTCTATGGGCCGTTTCACTCTTCCCCTCTATGATCAAAGCTTGCCGTATGATCATAGTTTTATCATATCATTCCGTATTAAAGTGTTGTCACAAAGGTGCCCTTACATTCACAGTTCATAGGAGAGGTGGTTCTTGACGCAACAGGCGATTCAAATCATCGTTTGCAAGACTGTACAAAATGGCACAAGATGCCGTAAACTCAGTCTTGCAAAGACTTGAGGACTCCTGCGGACTTCAACAGTTCTGTTAGAAAACACACAAGTAATTTTATATGGCCCTTCCATCTTTGGATCAAATTTACTTGGATTGAAATTCTTGATCAAAACTTCTCCACCAACGTTGTAGTCAAACTCCTTTTGTTTAGCATTTTGTCAACGTATATTTTTGTTGACCATCAATTGTTGTTTTTCCTAGATATTTATGATGTGGGCTGTAGTTTTGTTCTCAATGCAGTGAGATTTGTCACAGGATCAATACAAGTGAGCACATTGCATTCAATGTCTATACGGTTGACCTTGATTTTCCAAGGTCCAATCATATCCACAGCCACAGACCAAATCTGTGTGTCTTTCTTGCAGATGTCCATATTGAATGTTGGCATTTTTATCTTTACATCTGAGGGATTCAACTTTTCTTTTCAAAGCAGGAGCATAGAATTGTCGGACAATTGTATTGTACAAAGAGGCAGTACCTGCATGTCCAAGTACCAAATGATACCACACAGTCACTGGAGCAACCAAAGTTTCAGGCAAGTGAATTCTCCATTAGTTAGGTTTACTCAAATCTGCACAATAGCAGATCGCATTTCAATTGTCAATTTGCATGATCTGATACTGAACCCAAGTTGTTGCGTTTTGCGATTTTTGAATGAGGGCAACATCTTGGAGCTGATGTTTTTAATGTTTGCCATTGTGATTGGATTTTGGATAACTTCCAATCAAGGATGATTAAAAAACAATTGAATCATCTCATATTTTTGATAGCGCCATGTCCATGATCACTGTTGGTGGAAAATGAATAAAAGAGCAGTCAAAAATGTCGGACAGTGAGGTCGGACATTTGTGGTGGACAGGAGTACTGTTGGAGTACATACAGAAATAGACAAAGAGATGCATTGAAGGTATATCTGGATCTGTGACTAGTTTGTGAAGAACATGTGTGTATGCAATATATAATACACCGTGACAGCTGGTGAGAGCTGACGCAGATGGCTTCCGGAAGAGACACTTTGTACCTGCTTGTGGAGATCATTGTTGATTGACTTCTGGCAAGAATAGGAGTAGAATAAGATCTAATAGGAAGTGGTGAGACTGTTCATCTGCAGGTAGAAGCCCAGCATCACTTGCACCTGTTCCTATTGTAGGCGATCCATAACCGACATAGATTTGAGCCCAGATTTACTCCAGAGGTAGCTAGAGCGTTAAGGCTCTCATTCCAGCTACAGAGTATATTGTCTGACTGTCAATCAACAAAGGTAATTTTTGAACCTTGCAAAGTAGGAGCGACTACAGAACAAGATGCCTGGTGGAAAAGATCTATCCAGCAGACTGGTCAAGGGTCTCAAGGAAAGAAGACCAAGCAAAAGAAGAAATATCATCCTCACAATCCTGAATTTACTCATGGTCAAGTGATGGTGTACTTGCTTGAGGCTATTGCACTCAAGAGCTTGGACTAGTACGCTCAAGATATAGTCGCGAGTGTGCAAAATATGGCCCATGTGGACTTTGAAGCTCTAAGAGGAAGTCAGACGGTCTACAAGCCAGGAAAGAATGATACTGAGTTCCACAAGAGTTAAGATAGACTCAACTTGATAGGAACTGGGAAAATGTCAATAACAAGATTGACAAGAGAGAGGTGATATAACACAAATAAGTATATTCTTGCTGCAATCATCACTAAACATTTCATCACACAGGCAATGAGAGATAAGTTGAGCAATGAAACTGATTGGCTAGACCTCCAAGAAGACCGTGTGAAGTTGTTGAAACGTTTGAAGACATTCATGGCTGTCACAAATGAGACCAAGTGGCAACACTTTGGTTTCATGGAATCTCTCAAGAGATTCACAAACTGCACTCAGAAGCAAAATGAGTCGGTGAATGAATACAGAAGACGGTTTGAAGCTCAAGCTGACCAAGTGTTCAAAATCCTTGGCACTGAAGTGTTAGATGCCTATGCGGCAAAGATGTAGGGGTACTTGGACTTAGCTGATCCGGATGATGATCCGGACAATACCAAAGAGCTCCAAGACACATTCAAGAAAGAAGTTCTAGAAGTATTTAAAGCAAGTGCATTCTTTTCTACAACTGTGACAGGTCTCACTACCAAACCATGTTGGATAAAGCAAATCAGACCTATGTACTGGAATTTAAAGAATACAATCAAAGAAATGAATACCTGACTACGATTGATCAGGTTGCCAAAGCATTGCTGATCAAACATGAGCTGGACAATTGAAAGAAAGGTCCAACGACACCAAGAACGGACACTGTGCGAAGCACTAACCCTGATGGAGTAAGCAACACACAAGGGGCCGCTTGAACAACATCTTGCAACCAGCTTTTAGTTGCTGGTGTTGAGGGGATACTGGTCATGGAGTCACTTGTTGTTCCAAACGCCCCATGCGTCCACAAGCGGAATCGAGCGACCAAGGATGATACAGTGACCCAGGATTGCAATCACCAACTTGTCTTATATTGTCCAATACAATCCCCTTAATGCTCCAGCCGTATTCCCTCAATTGACAGTTCCAGTGGGTAAAAAGGACTAGGACATTGTGTTTTTGATCACCACCCCTTGTCTTTTTCTTGACAAGGAAATAGTCTTTGAGAAAAAGAAACTGCTCATTTTTGGAAAGTCCCTAGTTGATTTTGTTGCAGAACCTTGGGATGCAAAGCCATCTGACCATGATATCGATCAGATGCATTTTCAATTTTTCATTCACAGGATTTGTCTTTTGAGGGCAATGAAACAGAGGTTCCTCTCCTTTGGAAGACTAGTGTATTGTGATGAAAGGGTATGTGGTTGGCAAAACTATTGAAAGTGACCATTGGTTGTATCACATAGAAATTTCCTTTATTTGACAATTTCTGATCTATTGAATAGCTGTCAGCAGCTGTCAGCAGCTGTCAAGCATCACTTCATGTTGTCACGGCCCACTTCCGCAAAATGTGGATTTGTGGCCAACCCACCCCTAATCAGACAAGCCGTGGGGTGTGAGTTATTTGCAGCACTGCAGATGCAGAACTGACTTGCCATTTACAGAGCTGTGTAATGATCATTGGTCAACCGGAAGGTGCTTCTTGTTCTGCGGGTTGTTATTTTTTGTTTGGAAGAAAAACAAAATGCTGTTGGCAAAACTTCTACAGGGCTATGGTAGTCATACCACATAAGTAAATATTAGTACCTTCACACATGACAGTAGATTCTAGTACATAAAGTACCAGTAGTTTTGAGTCTAACAAGCTGGACAACTTGGAGACATAGTGAAAGCCGGCAAAAATTCCATATGTACAAACTAGGCAGAAGAAGGCACATGTACCAATGCCAAAATGACATGAACAGCACCATGAAAAGAAATCAACAACACACAACGTACACCAATTCCTGTCGAACAATGGAAATGAAAACATGATCTTCCTGAAAACAGATGGCAAAGAACACCACCACATCCCTCTTGTCACATAAGAAGATATTTCATCATCATCTCAATGAGTTAGATGTTCTACAGTTGCAAAACAATTGTTTCATTGATGTTGTTGTGGCATAGTGTGATATGCATTCTTAGTGTAGATGCCCATAGGAAAGTCCTGTAGCAGACCCCACGACTATATGCAAAGTTGTCTAAGCTAGAATATTTATTGGGGGATTTGAACCCTTATGTGCAAAAAAATCTTAAAAACTGGCCTGATGATGTGATTTGTTTAATGTTTGGAATCTAAGAACAGCACTACTCATCAGAATAGAGACACTTCCAGAAAGAAAAACACAACAATAAACAACAACAACAACAACAACAACAACAACAACAACAACAACAACAACAACACGAACAACAACAACAACAATAAAGGAGCACTAGTCAAATTGTTCAGTAATCAGAAGGAAAAATGGCATTCTGGTGTTGTCAACATTGACAAAACAGTCTCAAATGTCTTCACATGTTTGCATTCATCTAACAACAATAACAAGTTGCTGTTGCTACACTCCTCCAAGCCTACAAAAATATATCTGGGAAGAATTTGTTGAGCAGAAGAGAAAGGGAAGCCTTCAAGTTGAGTTCATCGGAAAAGAAAGTCAGGTTCTATTGGTTGGCTTGCTCGTGTCACATTAGGACATGGCTCCGTCTGCTTATGTCACGTGGTCACGTGATCCATTTGACTGGAACCTTTTCATATTTATTTTTGCCTCTGTGCTAATGTCTTCTTCGCCATGTGAAAAAATCACCTACTACCTGTCATTTTGGGACACGGTCCAGCCACCATGAACCATGCACTTTCACCCTGTCATTTTTGCATTTCCAGCATCATCTATTGTCACATGCCCAAAGTGATTATGTGATGACTACAACAATTGAAATATCACAATGACAGTATGATAATATCAACTACTTGTACTACCTACTTTTCACTAATATATTTGTCTTCATCCTCATATGCTGTTACAATGTGCTGCTTTGCCTTTTTGCGCCTTTGTTCAGAATCCCCTTCCAATCCTCTCCAACTTCCTGGTTTCTACTAGCTTTTTCCTTGCCGTACTTACCATCTGTGCTAACTCATTGAAACGATTGATGCCACCATTATCCCATCCACCTGCAACCATCCCCTTTTCACTGCCAGTGTACCTGCCACCCAGTGAACGCATGCGTTTGCGTTTCAGTCCTTGATCTTCAGTGGTGTCACTGCTGGGCCATTCTTTGGCCAGTGCCTTCCACCGTTCCACATAGTTCTCCACCATCAGAAGTCCAAATGCTTCATCCGTGACAGTGAAAGCATTGACATCTTGCATCACCATAATACTTAGTGACATCTGCATTGACAGGTGGCAAGATGCGATCAATGAAGTAGAGGAAGGAATCATAGTTGTCCTTTTTATTGTCCCTCACCTTTCCGTCATCATCTGCATAGTCTCGGTAGTTGGTCACAAGGCTAGCTTCCAAGTTTTGGGGCACAACCCCCTCCTTCCAGTCACCTAGTATATCCAACAAAAGAAGCAGGTGAGATCCAGGCTTTTGTCACACAACAGTGGAAACATGAATACTCACTGATAAATTTCTTTTGGCACTGTTTTGACAGTTGTTTCTCAGCATTCTCAGTCTCTCTCTCAAACTTGATTGCCACTCGCTGGCAAACACATCTGTATCCACACCCTCTGGTAACAGGATATAACTTTTGTGGACTGCCTTGGTGCATTCCCACACTCCCTTCTCTTCAGTAGTAGGGAACTTAATGCGACGGAAGGTATGTAGCTTCACAAAAGCATAAAGACCCTTTTTAATTGCGTCTTGGTTTTGCGGTAGCTTCATGACCAAGATCTGCTCTTGCTTGTCCATTGAGCGATTGGAATTTGTAATGGTAGTGTTTCCAGGGGAACAAGCGCTTCTGGCAGCACTCACTGTTCTCGGAACCACCTGACACGGCAGTTGTCTTCCTTGTGCCTGAAAAAATCTCTCCAGAAGATTCTCCATGTGCTGGAACCTGGCTTCAAAAGCATTAGCTGACGCAGCTCCTCTTGTTGGAGTTGTTGTTTCATTTGTGGTTCTGCCACTCGCCACAACTGCCATAGCTGTGGTTGCAGTTGCAGTTCTTGGTGAGGTCGTAGTGGCATTAGGCGAAGGAGACAGACAGGACCCATCATCCTCATCCTCGTTGCGCTCAAGGTCCTCATCACTGCTCACACTTGAATCCTCATCATATTTTCCTTTCTCCAAGACTCGCCTACAATAAACAAAGCATGCTGTTGTTACTTCAATGTTTAGCAATCACATTCTGATACTAGTAATTCAAAAAAACTCACAGGTTTGTCTTGGTGGGGGCTTTGGTGTTTCAGTGGTTGAAGCTGTCTTCTTCTTGCTTCCATTGCCCTTCCCTTTGCTTGGTGCCTTCTTGCTCCTTGCCTTGTTCCCCATTGCTCAATTTTTAGATATGTGTGCTGTGAAATCTTTGTATTGATGGTCTAGGCTGGATTCAGTTGAAATGTACATGGCCCTGGTAGTACTAAAAGTAGCATTGGGTTGGAGGAAGGTTGAGGAATGTGTGCTTCTACGTTGTTTATGTGGAAATGTACCATAGGATGGGCTTGAATCCATCCTGGCGCAAATTTTGCCCTACTATTATAAACAGCCAGAATACTGTCTACTTAACATAATGACTCAAAAATGTTATGGATTTGTCCTATCTACGTTATTTCTCTGAGTGGTATCCTGGTACCTTTGCATGGAGTTATGCTGACAAATTTGTTCCTCTTAATGAAATCCTTATTGAGCAATGTCTCAACCAATAAATCCCAATTTTGATGCTTAAATGCACAATGTCTACCTGCATAACGTCACAATTACCATCGGAGAAACTTTTTGATCTTTTTTGACCATGTAGATTTGTACATGCAGGATCGTGGTACATTTGGAGGGAGCCTCTAGGCTTCAGGTGCAAACGTATGACAACTCATTGGACAAACTTTTGGATCACTTCCGACAGAGCAGAATCAGGTGTAGCCCGAAATCCCATTTCACACACATCCAGAATAAAAACACCAACAACCAACGGCCAATATGGATGCCAAACAACAACAAATTGGCAAGGAATTGAAGGTTACTATTGCCCAACAACAAACGCCCAACAACAAATTGGCAACAAATTGAAGGTCGGTGGCCATCTGCCGGAGAAAAGAACTGGACAATCATTTGATTTGTGTTCTCAATGTTGTGTCTTGGGCTCATCGGAGAAACTTTTTGATCACTTTTGACCATGTAGATTTGTACGTGCAGGATCCTGGTACATTTGGACTGAGCCTCTAGGCTTCCGGTGCAAATGTATGGCAGATCCTAAATTCGAATCCACACAGTCATTGGAGAAACTAAATCCCAATTCACAAACATCCAAAATAAATACAGCAACAACCAACCGGCAATATGGATGCCAAACAAGAACAAATTGGCAAGGAATTGAAGGTTGCCAACGCCCAACAACAAATTGGCAACAAATTGAAGGTCCGTGGCCATCTGCCGGAGAAAAGAACTGGACAATCATTTGATTTGTGTTCTCAATGTTGTGTCTTGGGCTCATCGGAGAAACTTTTTGATCACTTTTGACCATATAGATTTGTACGTGCAGGATCCTGGTACATTTGGACTGAGCCTCTAGGCTTCCGGTGCAAATGTATGGCAGATCCTAAATTCGAATCCACACAGTCATTGGAGAAACTAAATCCCAATTCACAAACATCCAAAATAAATACAGCAACAACCAACCGGCAATATGGATGCCAAACAAGAACAAATTGGCAAGGAATTGAAGGTTGCCAACGCCCAACAACAAATTGGCAACAAATTGAAGACCGGAGGACAATCAATTGCAGAAAATTGCAATGTTGACACAGCCGTCGAAAGAGATACTGCTGTTGTTTGGGAACAAGCAAATGGGACTCTGATGGATGATGACGCCCGTCAGCAACAAAGCTGCAAGAAACCCCCAATTGCAAGTGATAAAGATGGTGTCATTATTCCAAAGAAAGGCATTGACGGTGCCATGGAAGAAAAGCAAAGTGTAGATGATGATGACCGCTCCAACGATACTAGCATTTCTAATTTAAATTCAGACACCAAGGACAATAGTTCTTTAATGCTTTTAGACGACAAGGTGTCTAAAATTTGGATGGATTGTTGCCAAGACAAAGAGTCTATACCCCTACCCACACAACAGGACAATATGAAGCAATCACCAGACTTGAATCAGTCACAATCAACCGTCTCAATCAGTTGGAATCAAAGCACTCTACCAACGTTGGCAGAAGTATTGAAAAGACCTGTCCAACAGCCAGAGCAGAATTTTGGATTGGAGGCCATGTGCTTTCTTCGCAACATTGCCGACAGGTGGTTCCAATTGCCACCCTCTGCGGTTCTTGACAACCATATCTCTTCATGGAAACTTCAGAAGAATGCTAGGGCATGCTTTGGCTATTTGTTCACACTTGTGCAGCAGAAAGACTTGGAAAACCGTATCAAGACCATGCATGAGGATATGGTTGACCTGCGAAAAAAATGGCAGACTACGGCTCAGGAATACCACCGTGAAGCCATGTTCTTTGACATCAAGGTGGAGAAAACATTTGTCCAGAAATCATGGGACCAACTTGAATGCATCTATCTTTCATACTGTATCATGAAGCACATCCTTCAGATTGCTACCTGCAGTTCGTTTGATCGTCAAACCGCTGAAGACTGCCTCTACTTTTCTTTCAATATGGTGGTTAATGATGCCAGCCGTAAGCATCAAATTCTTGGCTTTTATGCATCCTTGTGCGTTCTTTTCCCATCTGAAGCCCACATTTTGGAGCACAAGGCCACAATCATCAAGTGGTGGGGAAAAAGGACAGAAGGCCATGCAGCCCGCTCATTCTACAAATGGATTCGATCGGAGAAGTTTTCCACTATCACAAATGCCAAAACAACAACAAGAATGAAAGATGCTCTGGTCAAACTTGGGAAGTATGTATTCCCAGAGGTAGGAGCAAAGCAGAACAATCTTCTAATGGATGAATTTCACCTTTTACAACAAAGAAGCGACACGAAAAGAAGAAAGGGCTTGGGAACAAACAACAAGGCAGTTTCAAACGTGGATATTGAGTGGTGGTCGTTTCTGTGTGCCAAAGCCTTTACCATGTATCTCTACTGTGAACAAAATAGCAATTACAAATTCCATTTGGCCCAGACCGTCAATGTGGCAGTAGGAATTGAGCCGCCGCCCCGGCACCAGCTCTGTCATCATCATCATCATCATCATCATCATCATCATCATCCGTGTCACCTGCTTCAACACCTGCAAGCAATGATGTGATACACTGTTATACCAGGCTTGGATCATGCTATGATGATGAATTTGCAGCATGGGGCACAACAGAATTTTTCTACTGTGATGACGATGGTAACAAAAACTATGTGTTGGTCTCAACTATTCAGTTGATGATGTTCAAGAACCTACACTGTTATGAACATGGATTCCGATTTTGCGAGGGTGCTAACTTCCCAGTAGCAAAGGATGCCAAGTGTGTTGAAAGATATTTTCCAACTGGGAAGATGTCTCATGTACAACAACCCTAACTGTGCAATCTTTGCTTGGAACTGCATGAGAGATGGCATGTACTACAACAGACCTAGTTTTCCAAATGCATTGGGTGAAGAGGGTGGGGATGTGCAGAGGCTTCGGGTGAGGCTTGGTATTGACTCAAATACACCAATGGGATTCTCCAGAGTCACCTTGGATGTCTATGTGGTGGTCAAGGACTCGGCCTATGATTTCTCCATGAGTATGAGTACTACAAAGAAACCATTCAAGCAGACAGTGATGCTTTCCATTTTCCTGGATGATCATGAAACCGAACCCCAAGCAACCATGTTTTTCCTAGTGATGACCTTCCACTACAAATATCTCAAGGATGAACATGACAATGGAAACTCGAGTGCAGATTTGGATTCAGACATGATGGGGAATGCTAAAAAGCGACAGAAAACTTAAGAATGAGTGTTAGCTGCAAACACTACAAAGGACTATTAAAGCCTAGTGTGGATGGATAACTCTGGATCAAGTGGGAGAAGCAGCTACTCCAGGTGCTTTGTGGGGAGACAACAAAATATCCCTCACCAAGTGGTTTGATTATACCATCCATCTTCTCCCTTGCTCTTCTTTGTTTTGGATTCAGTGGCATCTGAGGTTGTAGCATTGGAATATTCTGCACAACAATTGTGGGTTCAGCAATATAATCACAAGGGATGATGGACAGTTCATCTTGGGTATCGCCAAACTCCACCAAGAGGCTGTACTCATTCTCTTCGCCTGTTTCACTGTGAGTCTTGACCTCTTGGAAGTCGGATCTTGGTTTTTCCTTGAACAGCCTGACAATGGCATGTGGCTTGTTTGGCCTTACTCTCATTCCATTGACTGTCACTTCCCTTTGTAGATGTGGGACATGAAGAAACATTAGCACCTGACCCGGGATAAAGCAGCTCCCATAACCTTGATCCTCCAAATCAAACAATGCCCAGTCATACCAAACATCCCGCTGTTGCCTAGACTTGGACCTGAAGCTTGGGTGGGCCCGAAAGATGACCGATTCCCCTCTGATTTCTTTTTTATATTCAGTGAAGCCATCAACTGTCCTTGCACTCTTTGAATTGTTGAGGGGGAGATTGGAGACAATGTGGTCAAAGGCCGTATCAATAACAGTCTGTATGTGAACCTGTCTGCCTGGATCCTTTGTCCACTTGACACCTGGTCTGTAATTAGTGGTATCTAGACCTATAGTGAATCTTGAACCAGTACAGGCCATTGGTTTGGTTGATTGTCTACCCCGTCCAGTATTGGTTGCCCAAAGAGACTTGCATAAGCCACAGAACTGTGTGGCATACTGCATGAGCCTCATCTCAGTGTACCTGGCAGAAAGTTGGGCAATGAAGCAGTCTTGTCGCCTTTGTATAAGCTGGGCAGGACGTTTGGCCTGTCTCTTGTGGGAACGTTCCAGGTTGGAACCATCCCAGCCGCTGGGAGGGCCCCATCGCATTATGCAATGTGGAAGATGAAGCATGAGATGATTTTTTATCAGTCTAGCGCCCATTCCTTTCCTTTGGCATATGGCACCAATATTCTCCACATAGACACCAAGAGCTTTGGAAAGCCGGGTGCCATCCAGAACCTCGTCAGCTGGAAATGAAGGTGACTTCAACCATTGCTCCATGACTAGGACAATCTCAAAGAGGTAAACAAAGTTATCAAGAAAGTCTTCTTCCATTGTTCTTTCCTCAAGACATATTTGTCGTCCCCGATCTGTCATTAATGTCAACAATATGGAGAGAATAACTCTTGCATGTTCATGACCACACTTTTTTGCCGAGGAAAAGAGGGAATTCTTAAACTTGGTCCTTAGTTTGTTGCGGTCTGATTGTCGGCTGAGGAAGTCACCCATCTGATGACCAATAAAGTTCAGATTTTCCAGTCCTTTCTTGATGCCCTTCTTTTTGGAGGCAAAGGATTTGTCATCCAAGGTGATTTTGGTCCCATTTCGAAACTGATACTCAAATGATTCAACTGCCCGCATCTGCCCCCCCTTCTGAAGCATATGCAGAAGCTTAGCTGGACAGTCTATGTGCGTCTTGTGGGAGTTCGATCCATGGCACATTTCATCCAATGCGCTGACAATTGGGTGGTGTAGGTTGATATTGCAGCTATTTGGGCCAAGGATGACTTTGTTGGTGAGAAGTTCATAGACACAGTCTAGATAAGGTCGCACATGTTGCACTACTGGTTTGTTGTCGGGCAGCGAATTGATAACCTCCTCTTTGAATTCAAACCCATCATCCATTCCCAATTGGTTCCGATACTCCATTATCATGCGTTCACGGCTTGGTGGGGGACCACGGAAGATGTCTGGGTGGATCTTACATGCCTTGTTTGCTCAGTTGTAAATGTCATCAACAGCCGCAAAGGATAATCCATGTTTTTCTTGTAGTTGCATCATCATCATATGGACTATGACATCTTTTGGTGGGTCTTCTGGTAGGTGTTCCTGGTTTGCGTTCTCTCTTGAGAGTCTGTTTTTGAGATATTTTGGCAACAAATTTGGAGGCGGATGGTTGTTTCCAGGTTGCCCCACTTGTTGACCAGCAAGATTGGATTCATCATCATCACTATCATTATTGCCTAAGTCATAGGCATCAACCACTTCATCTTCTGATTCCCAAATGTCTGATGTGTCATCATGAGATGAGGCTGGTTCATCCCCTGCTGATTGGTGTGATTCATTACAATGCTGTTCCATTTTCTGACTGGGAAATTGGTGGAAGCAGTTTGGTGGACGGGGATGTTTGTTGATTGAATTCTGCATTGGACAATGGTGACTCCTTTGAAAAGTTTGCTTCAACCGGGTAATGGCTAAAATAAGTGTTCTTTGGAAGACTGTTTGATGGCTTTAGAGTCATGTCTGAGATAATTGGGGAATAGTCAAGCTCAAGAGACATGTTGTTGTCATCTTCCATGGATACATCACTGAGGACCTCTTCCTCTCTTCCCTCTGGGAAATGATCGTGGTCACCTGGCTGAGAATCCAAAACAGTCCCAAGAGAGGTTGAAATGTCTATATCTGGCCAGTCAACCAAGTCCTGAGCCTGATAAATATCCAAGCATCTTCTGTTGATTCCAGTCCTTCGGATCTTCTTGCTCTGAGACTGTTTTATATGGTTTATTAGACCGCTGGAGATGATGGTCCCACTAGTGAGATCTCTCCGAGCCACAAATGTTTTGGTGCAGCCCAAGCATTGCAGTGTCAGACAAACATTTGTAGGAGCTGAGGCTGCCCATAAAGACATTATAGGATACTGAGTTTATTATTGAATTTAGTGGCAGTAGGTTGCAATAGAAAGTATACAACAGTGGCTTATCATCAGGAGGTGATGAAATATGGCATGGGTCATTTCGGTTACAAAGGTCACAAGTGACAAACACAACGGCAAACAAAAGGGAAGGTTCCTAATGAGAAGGGTTCTCTGAAAGTAGGACATGGGTAAGTTCAATGTCGGAGGTCGCAATTGACAAACAAAGTTACAAATCACAGAATGCTTCATAATCACATGGGCTCTCTGAAACTATCGCCTTCATCAATTCTAGGGGAGGTGACACAAGCCCCAAAAAGACACGCCCTGCTGATTTTGGGGCATGGTCCCTTAAATATCAACTGACTTTCTTTTCCGATGTTTGATTGTTGGTTTTTGCAATTGTTGTGAACAGTGCTTGCAAAACAGGTCCCTCATATGTCTTTGCATTAATTGAATTCAGCCCACAAGGCACAGTTAATATAAATGAGACCTAATAAGACTTTTGGGAAAAATTGGTCAAGCAGCAAAGAAAGAAGAAGGGTTTTGGCGAGAGCTAGTTCTTTGGATGATGATGCAGCTGTCAATATCAACAAAACTTGTTGCTTTATGTTGTGTCAGTGTCTGCCCTCAGGCAACAATCTGCAGTCAGTTGCCATTGCTTGGCTACTCCAAACCTATAAATACCTCTTGGAGAAGCATTGGCAGAGAAAAAGAGAAATGACATCCCTCCAAGTGAGTACCAGTGTTAGATGTTGCAATTATCAATGTTCTTACCTTTGAATGCGCAACGTCCTTTGATTATCACACCATCATTCTTTTCGGTCAGTAGCATCATCACATCTACTGCCTTCTTTCTTTCAGTTGGTTTTAGTTTCTCAATACTGACTGGTGTCCAGCAACTGTGCTTGATCAGTTGGTCAAGTTCTTTCATGGCCGCATCTTTACCTTGCTCCTTGAATATCTTCAGTCTTTTATTCAGGTAGTATTGCTGAATGAACGAGACTTTGTCTATTGACACCATTGTTGACACCATCACATATCTGTTGAATAACACAAGCGACTACTAGAGCTTCATCCGTGTCATATTCACCTTTGTTTGTGTTTTTGACTTGCTGGAATGCCAAATTGTGCATGCATTCTTGGATGAAACGCTCGTACTTCTGGTTTCCTTGCAACTGTAATCCCTTTCTTTGTGCATCATTTTTTTCTTGATTGCTTGATACAATGATACTCGGAGACTTTTCATTCGTGCCTTTCTTCTCATTGCACATATGTTTCTCAAAATGTTTGGTACAGGCGGATTCTTCCTTTGTAGGTATGCCTGTCCAAATCTTGATTTTTCTCTCCGGTATCTCTCAGTTGGTCTCATCTTGACTCCTTGTGAGAAATAGGATATATTATGTCATGGACGAAGTACCCTCTTTGCATTTCTACACCTTTGTCACTGTAACTTCTCACAATTCTTTCAGTGTCGGACACATTATCATCTGTGTCCGCGAATCTCACTCCTGCATGAGCAACACTATCTTCTTCTTCTGACTTAAAATTGAATACATGTTTTTCTTCTTCAGGTTTCCCAAGTTCCACTATTCAGCTGCCAGTTTGTCTAGCATCTGCTTGGCTTTGTCATCGTCTAATTTGGACTTGTAATCGTCTTCATAGTCTATGTCCTCATTGCCAGATATCCATTTGTGTTCTTGATAGTCTTCATCCATCAGATCTTCAGCATCTTGTCTAGCCTTGATCTTCTTGAAAATTCTATCAAACATCTCATCCTCTAGCTCATCGTCATATTGATTTGCTTCCCTATCGTAGCTTGGGTTCCTGTCCCTGTTGAACCTCGCTTCCATTTTGTCAGCTTCAGCATCTATTAGTAATTCATCAAGTTTGTCATCTGGGATATTTTCGACAAAAACTGGTGGATTTTTCAAAAGAATGTGTTGCTGAAATTGGATCCTTTGTACAAGGATATGGTCACACGACCAACAACAGTCAACAGTCAAGAACAATTGATGGTATTTATCTTGGAGTAAATGACAGCATACAAGCGGGACATATGTTACTTGATCTTAATAAAAAAAGACAGTAATAGGACCCTATGTAACGGTACTTCCGATCACCAAGCAAGTGATCCAAATTGTGGAGCAAATGGCACACGACGAGGGCGTTCGTGATTTGCGTACTTATCATTGAAAGAATGGTGAAATCATATTGGATGGTGATTGTCCGTGAAGAAGCTACTTCCTAGAACCGTTCCTCGTTTCACGAACTCATTTTCAGAGAAGTGGATTGTCATGGTCGGTTAATGTGCTGTTCTGGCAGGTTGTAATGCTTGTTGGAGGGGGGCAGATTCCATCAATTTGATGGAACCCAATAGTATCAAAGCAACTTACATTGAACCTACAAAGGGACAACGTAATGGGCACCTAGTGCTCAACCTCAATACCAAGAAGATGATTTCTTGACCCAAGGTCGTTGTACTACCCGTTACCAACCAAGTAATCCAACCAAGTAATCCAACCAAGTAATCCAGCGTTTTGAAGCTCGGGCTGCAGCCAAAGATGTTACTTCCATGAAGTTCTTTGATAAGAAGAGAGATTTGGAGGCATTTCAAGATGGCGATCAAATTGCAGGAGTGGATGATGACAATGATTCAGATGATGACAATTCAGGTGATGAAGGCAATGAAGAGGAAGAACCTATTGTGGCCAATTTGGATCACCATCAAGAAAACGACGATAGAGGAACAAATGATATTGGGAGCCTCGTTACTGATCTGGAGGATCTACAATAACCGCCAGAGGAAGAGATTGTGTTTGAGCCTGAGAAGCCTCAAGTAGCAAAAGTCACTTGATCTGGGCAAACATATGCACAAGCTGCAATGTCTGGGCTGAACCTTTCTCGAGCTCGAAAGAAACCAAGAGAATGGCCTTCAAGCAGGAGTGGCAGTTCTGCCAATAAGAACAAGAATCAAGTTGTGACAAGATGCAAGCATCCAGAGAGTGTTGGGATATGACAAAATATGAGTTTTCACGTTCCAAAAAGAAACTATTAAAGTACCAAGTTTTCCACATCTACAATCGGACTTTGATCGTGATGTCAGGATTCAACGCAAGTATGCCGGATGCAAGTCTGCCGGACAATCTACATCCACACAAAAAGGGAATGACCCTATACAAGTGAGATATCGGTGTTGTGTACAATGCAGTAGGGAATAATACAAGATGTCCCAAAGTACTGCATTCAACACAGAATTGTTGTAGAGGTCGAATCAAGTTTTGTAAACAAGGGATTTTCCAAGGGAAAATGGTTGAACTTACTTTTGTGATTGAATCATCAATTCAAGCCAAATATTAATCAAATAGGAACAATTTCACTCAAAGTATACCTAGTAGACACAGGAGAACTATTGTTGTGAAAGTGTTGTACAGTCGATTACAAATTTAGATGGCAGAGAGTTTGTTCTGAGCGCTAAAGGCACTCACGATAGAGCACATTTTGCTTTATTCTAACATTCAATCACAAAAGGCAATAAAACAAATTTATGTCAAGAACAGCACTGCCTTATCTACAAAGGAATGAGTGATTCGTTGACAATGGGACGTTCTTCATCCTGTGGTGGAAGAGGATGTGTGACTCCTCAGAAAGTCAAGAGCAATTCAAGTTCAACAGTTGTGAAACATCTATTTTCAACAAAAGATGAGAAAGATGGAAAGGCACAATTGTGGTACAAAGATGCCGAAGAAAGAGTGATTGATTATATCCAAGCTTCTGGAATGAAATGTTCCAAAGACATGGTGAAATCAATTTGAAATGGAAAGTCGGTCGACTTCAATGCAATTGCTCCAAGATTGAACGCTCCAATTCAAACTGAAGCTGTTGCAAGAGAAACAGAGATGGTCCAAAACAAGATTCTCTATTCTGCAAAGCTCAACGAGAACATGCGAAGATCAGCCTACTTCGAGACAAACAAGAGAACCGTCAAATCAAACATCATGCTGAAGTTTGTGACAAAGGCAATGGATCTCAAGCTTCGAGGTGAAACCGATTTCACGACTACTCTTGAAGATCGGATCGAACTCTTGAAACATGTTGAACGATTCATGAAGAAGATTGCTGATGCTGAGTATGATTTCTTGGATTTCTGGGAAGCGAATCAAAAGTTCTTTGCTATGAAGCAAGGAACAACCAAAAACTTGATGCATTTCAAGGAATGATTCTTGAGACAGGCTGAAGTGCTGCAAGATCTATATGGCGTGGCCTGGTTCCGAAATTTTGCAGTCGAGACAAAAGCGTATGCTGCTATTGCTAGCACCGATACTGCTGCTCAAAACAAGTTCAAGGATGATATCTTTGAAGCCATTCTTGCAACAGGATTTCTGTGCAACTGTGATCGAACAAGAACAGCTCCTCTGATGCTGGATCTTCAGACGAACTATTGCAGAGAAGTGGATTATTATCCAAAGACGGTCAGCAAAGCACAAGATATGTTGAAGATTCACATGGAAGTGAGTAAAAATCCGGGAGTGAACCTCTACCAAGGAAAAGACCAACCTAATAAAGGTAAAGGTAAAGGAAAAGGAAAGGGGAAACCGAAAGATGAAAAAAAGGCAGCATGTTATGTGTGTGGCAACGAAGATCATATGTCTCCAAAGTGCCCAGACAGACTGCTACCAAAAACCCAATGGAAGAATCAGGATCAATATGTTGACTATGGGAAGAAGCTCAATCTTAATCAGATTGGAGCAAGTGTCCCAGCTACTGTTCCAGCTATAATTCCTGGAGCTTCAGCATCCACAAGTGGAGCATCAAGTGTTGCGGAAGCGTTAACACACCTTTGCGACTTGCTGGTACTACAGGTAATCAAATGATGCAAGTCCCTTCTGGAATGCAGCGCATGCAGATTCCAACTCAAGGTGGCGGCACTGTTGCTGTCCCTTATTCTATGAATGTTAACGGTGAGATTGCGTTCAGTGGAATGCAACTCAGCCGACAAGGCTTCAGTGGTGCTCAAGTGCGCCAAGGATTTGATGCAACTCAAGCTCAAACTCCGCAAGCTGTGAAAACTGGATAGTGTGATCGGGCGTTCATTCCGCTCACGGATGATATGCTAGACTATATGGGTGTTACTATTGACCCGACTGCAGCTGGAGACCAGGAGCCTACCGCTGAGCGAAACAATAGGACGCTGAAAGAAAGAGTCAGGGTAGCTCTTGCACGATTACCCTACAAAGTGGTCCCAAAAGCTATCACTGAATGTCTTGGACGTCGAGTCGCCGAGCTATTGAATGTCTTTCCCCAGAAAGACAGTATCTCATCACATTTCAGTCCACAGCAACTCATTGATAATGTCAATATCAACTACAAGAGTGAAATGGTTGCTGAGCAGTTGGGATGGATTCTAACAATTCGATGGAACCCCAAAGTATCAAAGCGATTTATATTGAACCTACAAAGGGACAACGTACTGGGCACCTAGTGCTCAACCTCAATACTAAGAAGATGATTTCTTGACCCAAGGTCATTGTACTACCCGTTACCGATCAAGTAATCCAGTGTGTTGAAGCTTGGGCTGCTGCCGAAGGTGTTACTTCCATGAAGTTCTTTGATAAGAAGAGAGATTTGGAGACATTTCAAGATGGCGATCAAATCGCAGGAGTGGATGACACGGAACAAGGTTACTTAGAAGAAGCCTTTGATCAGGACTATGAACCTGAAGAAGAAGGTGAACGTGATTTCAATCTACATGGACAATACAATGATATCGATGACTCCAAAAGAGAAGAACTCTTGGCAGATGCAGACAATGATGTCGCTGATATGCCAGAACTCACTGTCAGATTCCAAGGAGATGATGACTATGAATCAGATGACGATTCGGGTCATGAAGGCGATGAAGAGGAAGAACCTATTGTGGCCGATTTGGATCACCATCAAGAAAATGTCGATAGAGGAACCGATGATATTGGGAGCCTAGTTACTGATCTGGAGGACCTACAAGAGCCGCCAGAAGAAGAGATTGTATTTGAGCCTGAAACGCCTCAAGTAGCAAAAGTCACTCGATCTGGGCAAATGTATGCGCAAGCTGCAATGTCTGGGCTGAACCTTTCTCAAGTTCCAAAGAGACCAAGAGAATAGCCTTCAAGCAGGAGTGGCAGTTCTGCCAATAAGAACAAGAATCAAGTTGCGACAAGACGCAAGCATCGGGAGAGAGAAATCAAACCGTTGAGCAACAAGTTAAAATCTGGCATTCGTACCAAAGAAGGAAGTTGCAGTACTAAAGACAGCAAAGCTATCCTTGAAGCACAGCACAATCTATGTTTCCAAGAGATTGGGAATGAGATGAAAGCTGATTATGAAGAGCACGACGCTATTCTGATCGCTCGTTGCATGATGCAGATCAAGGCCAAGTTCGATACTGATGAAGGTCTGAACTTCATTCAACAGTATTACATCAACCAAGGACTGAAGAAGTTTGGTGATGATGGAAAGGATGCTGTGGATAAGGAATTGAGACAAATGCTCCTGAGAGATTGTTTCACTCCTGAATTTGTCAAAGACATGACCGCATCTGAGCGAAAGAAGGCCCAATCAGCGATGATGTTACTTGCAGAGAAGCAACTCAAAAAGACAATTAAAGGTCGCCTAGTATTCTGAGGCAATGGAACTTGTGAATGGTTATCGCGAGAGGACACTGCAAGTCCAACTGCTTGGCAGGAAGCAATCACCACTACTTGATGCACATGAAGGTACAGGTATAAGGACGATGGACGTACCTAATTCTTCATTCAAACTTATATGCCTGAAGCTAAGGAAGGAGAAGATCATATCTACATGAAAATCACTGGCATGATGGTCCAGATATTGATTGACATGGCCCCAGAGTATCGCAAATACGTTGTATTAGAGAACGGAAAGCGAGTAATCTATGTGCGGGTACTACGTGCTATTTATGGGATGTTGCAATCAAGCCTCCTATTCTATAATCAGTTTCGAAGTGATTTGGTGGCAAAGGGATTTGTTTTCAATCCGTATGACCCGTGTGTTGCTAACAAAGTTGTTCATGAAAAACAGCATACTATCAGATTTCATGTTGACGATCTTATGTCAATGGATCCGAAAGTAAATGACGAATTTGCTAAGTGGTTGAACATGAGATATGGTTCGATCAAGGCATGCACAATCGTCAGAGGAAAGATACACAGATATCTTGGAATGACTTTGGATTTCTCGGTGAAAGGAAAACTCAAGATCCGCATGGATGACTATGTCAAGAACATGTTGGAAGATTTTCCTATCAAGTTCAACAAGGATTCAAAGCAGGAAACACCAGCTGGTAACGATTTACTGGAACCTGGTAAAGGGAAGTTACTCAGTGCTGAGTACCGTGTGGCAAGGGTATCCAATTGAGAAGAATATCTTGTGGATAACAAAAGCGCGATTCTACTGGAAGAAAATGGTCGCAAGAGCACGGGCAAAAGAAGCCGAGCTATCAATATTCGTTATTTCTTTATCACAGATCAAGTTGAGAAAGGAAATGTTAAGGTCAAATACTGTCCAACTGACGATATGATTGCGGATTTCATGACTAAGCCATTGCAAGGTGAGACGTTTCGCAAGTTCAGGGATCTGATTCTTGGTCCACAGGACTAGGTCAGACAAATATGTATATGTTCAAAAGAAAACACACAAAAAAAATAAACAGTGAATGAGAGCATGTCCCATTGCTGCCAATGGTGATTGTCACAATGGCAGGAGTGTGTTAGGATATGACAAAATATGAGTTTTTACATTCCAAAAAGAAACTATTCAAGTACAAAGTATTCCACACCTACGATCGGACTTTGATCGTGATGTCAGGATTCAACGCAAAGTATGCCAGACGCAAGTCTGTCGGACAATCTACATCCACACAAAAAGGGAATGACCCTATACAAGTGAGATATTGATGTTGTGTACAATGCAGTAGGGAATAATACAAGATGTCCCAAAGTACTGCATCCAACACAGAATTGTCACAGAGGTCAAATCAAGTTCTGTGAACAAGGGATTTTCCAAGGGAAAATGGTTGAACTTACTTTTGTGATTGAATCATCAATTCAAGCCAAACATTAATCAAATAGGAACAATTTCACTCAAAGTATACCTAGACACAGGAGAACTATTGTTGTGAAAGTGTTGTACAGTCGATTACAAAATTTAGATTGCAGAGAGTTTGTTCTGAGCGCTAAAGGCACTCACGATAGAGCACATTTTGCTTTATTCTAACAGAGAGGGAAACGAAACCATTGAAGGACGAATTGAAGTCTGGTATTTGTACCAAGCATCAATATAGGGAATTGAAACCGTTGAAGAACAAGTCAAGACAGTAAAGCTATCCTTGAAGCACAGCACAATCTATGTTTCCAACAGATTGGGAATGAGATGAAAGCTGATTATGAAGAGCACAACTCTATTCTGCAAGGTCTATCCTGGTTCAACGTACAACATACAGACACCATACTTTTCTATCCAGCTCACTATTTCTCATTCATCTACATTTGCATTGCATTAGGATTTAGTCATATCTGCTAGTACAACAGGTTATAAAGCCCTTTGTAACGCTACTGTCTATCTGCGCCAAGAAGCTACTACAACACCAATGCTCCCTCGCCAGTGCAATTCGTGAATTGCACTCATTCAATTCACCTTTGCACTTTCCATCTTATTCCCACATCAACTGTTGATTGTTCTGGAACATGTCCAAGCTCAAGGACTTCAGTCCCTTGGAAGTGGTTGAGTTCATCTTTGTCAACCATAAGCATCAGTCTGAACCAGTCTACAAAAATTGTTTTGGTAACACCTTAGAACTCCAGGCAGTAAAAGCCCTTTTCATCAACGAACTCCTACCAGCATTACAGAAGATTCATTCAGGACATGACAACCATCCATCAACTTTTCAACCTTGCACCACTCACTGTCTTGAACACAAAGACCGACAAAAGGTTGGTTTCAACACCAGATCAACTGCAACTGCAATGAGAGACACCATCGCCACAGGAGTAATGGGCCACATTGAAATTACGATCCACATTGGAACCAACGTATGGAAATACCCGTCCACCGCATCCAGTTGCCTTGAAGACTTTGAACTTGTGGAGAAAAATTCAGGAGCGGCTAATCCTACTATGGCAACTTCTGCACTAAAGGCTACTTCAGCTACCAACATTCTCCCTTTCAAGAACTCCAATGCTTTGTTTCCTCCAACAAGCGGGCTGCGCAAGCACATTTGGAAGGGTTTTGCACTTAGTAGGAATGCAACACGAGCGTTCCTGCCCACAGTTGCATATGCAAATCCAACCACGGAGCAAATCCCTCCCTTGAGCATCAACCGCCCCCCTGTCGTCCCATAGGACATTGCAACTGCGGATCATTCCCATCCTTTGTTCTTACCCCAGCACAATAACAAAGAATACATGCTTGATGTTCCGGCAGTGAAGTCTGTTCCATTGGAAACAGCTAATCCACCTTTGCTTCATACCACTGGTATCAATGGTATCAATGGACCCATGCTTGCCAAAGGATCCCTCCATGCCATCAATCCCACAATCTGCTCCCTTTTGAAAGTTCTTTTGGAGGATTCAAGCCCTCCCTGTAGACGAGAATCGTCCAATCACACCATGGTGACAATAATGATAACATTGTTACAAGATTGTTGTGTCATGCCAATTTCTGGACGCCAATCTGGAACACGCAAGGAGTTAGTGTTTTTTTCGTTTTTTCGTTTTTTGCGTTGAAACTTTGGAAAAGCTGTTGGATATTTGACGATTTTTAAAGTACATATTTGGAGAAACGAGAAAAAGAGAATACAGGTGAACAATAGAGAAAAGATGTCGACTGATACGACTAAAAATGAAGACAGATGCGACTTAAAATAACGTGCGTGGCGAGTCAGAAAACAACTCATATTTCTATGGAAATCATCCTGTTGATAATTTAAGAAAACAAGATTCAAGCAAGAACCAAAGTTGGATACTAATCAAAGTACCGGCTACAGTGGAAGGTGAACGGATAAGCAGATTGAACTTGCAGCATGTCAGGCTGACGTAGAGAGAATTCTGAGAATTTCCACTGAGCTGGAGAAGAAAGGGTCAAAGTCAAAAGTTGACAGACTATTCTCACTTTTTATAATATATTGCAAGCAACGAGTGAATTGGTTGATAAAGTAGGATCTCTGATAGATCTATATACTACTATATACTGTAAATTCATATACTTAGAAGGCAACAATACCTGGACAGCTAAATTGCAGTCAATTGAACACGTAGATTGCAGGCAGCAGTGGATCGCTTACTTGTAACACTTGTGCACTAGAGATGACTGCATCAAGCTCAAGAGAGTCTTACAGTATCTTAAATGCCAGATATTTGACTCTGTGGCTGTAATGAGAGCCTCAACGCTCTAGCTACCTCTGTAGTATACTGAGCTTGAATCTATGTCGGCTATGGATTGCCTACAATAGGAACAGTTGCCAGTGATGCTGGGCTTCTACCTGCGGATGAACAGTCTCACCACTTCCTACTAGATCTTATTCTACTGCTATTCTTTTGTTGTTTCGACCACTCCAGTTGCGATAACAAACCCTTTTTCATTTAATATGTAACGTGTATAACCAATGTCACGCCTGAAGACCACTTTTAATCCATATAAACCTGGATTTTCCACAAGTACTTTGTTAGTCCCAACCGTACTTCATTAGTTCTTACACGAGCACGTGAATTCCCAACACACTCCTTCAAGCGATGGATTGTGCATGTGACTCATTTGATCGGACATTCTGTCTGTCTATCTGTTGTTGGCCCTTATTCAATTATTCGTTTACTCACTCCTTTGAGCCCCTATTCTCCAGGAACACCCGGCAGAACGATCATTGTTTGGAGAGCGGACAGACCTTCTCCAGTCATTTTCCAAACCCATGTGATCATGTGGGATAAGAAGATTAACTCATACTGAAGAGCAAAAGCTAATGAAGATTGGTTCAAACAGAAACGATGAGAAGCGACCAAAGCGATGAGAAGCGACCATGTTGGATATATTAGGATTTTCAAAGTAGATATTTGGAGAAACGAGAAAAAGAGAATACATGTGAACGATAGAGAAATGATGTTGACTGATACGACAAAAAATATTGCGCGTGGCAAGTCAGAAAACAACTCATATTTCTATGGAAATCATCATGTTGATGATGTAAGAAAACAAGATTCAAGCAAGAACCAAAGTTGGATACTAATCAAAGTACCGACTGTTGTGGAAGATGAACGGATAAACAGATTGAACTTGCAGCATGTCAGGTTGACATAGAGAGAATTCTGAGAATTTCCACTGAGCTGGAGAAGAAAGAGTCAAAGTCAAAAGTTGACAGACTATTCTCACTTTTTATAATATATTGCAAGCAACAAGTGAATTGGTTGATAAAGTAGGATCTCTGATAGTTCTATATACTTCTATATACTGTAAATTTATATATGCTAAATTGCAGTCAATTGAACATGTAGATTGCAGGCGGCAGTGGATCGCTTACTTCTAACAGACCATAACGCAATCAGAAGTGAGCAAAATAGGTTTCTGCTTGTTCCGAATGGAAATTACTCGTTCTGAGTGGAAATTACTCGTTTGGAATGGAAATTACTCGTTTGGAATGGAAATTACTCGTTCTGCATGGAAATGACTCGTTTTCCAAAGCGATGAGAAGCGACCAAAAGTGAGTAATTTTTTTGGGGGCTGAATCTTTGGGCATTTTTTCACAGCTGGGACTTTGCAAAACAGGCTCGCTGAAAAAATCTCAAAACAAATAATACAGGTAGTTGGATTTCGGTTCTGGCGGACATCAGACAAGCAACAGGCTTGTCGTCGTCCAAACCGATCGACAACTTTGTGGCCCATAAAGCCATCATTGCCAACCAGCCGTGCCAACATGCGACCCATCAAGTCGTCATGCAGAGGCACTGACCATAGCGATCTCCGATCCGCCTAATAGGAAATAATCATCTCTACAGGAAATAACTATTCTAAAAGACTTGTTATCTACATGGAATGGGCAAAGCAAAAGCCTTGCACGAAAACTCAAATTTCCCAAACCTTTACTGCAATCCAGAAAGGCCGGTACAAAAACCCACGTACAGAACTCCCGCAGGATTCAGTCTGGGATTTTCGTGGCGCTCAGACGTTTGATAGTCCAAGCCCACAATTCCATGTTTTCAGATTCCCTGCAAAAACCGACTCGTAGGAATCCCCCGAATAAAACGGACCAAACGGACATTTGTCTGTCTGTCCAATCGGACGTGTCGAACTGCTTCTATCAAGGAGTTTCCAATGAATGGTCTCCAAGAGAGCAATTTCAACACAGGTAACCATCAACGACACAAAAGACAAAATGAAGTTTTGTGAGCATTATTGTTGACACTCACAATCTCCTCTCCAACCCTTTCCGGAATTGCTCTTTGTCTCAAGCCAAGACTTGGTTGATTGGGGATAAAACATCGCAGATGAAGATCATGGGGAGTAGGACTGAACAGTCCGGGGGGAAATTTTTGTAGGACTTCCAGAAATGATGAGAAGCCACCAAAACGATGAGAAGCCACCAAAACGAGAAATAAGTCACATTGCAAAGCGAGTAATTTTTATTTGGAACGAGTAATTTTTACTTGGAACGAGTAATTTTTATTCGGAACGAGTAATTTTTATTCGGAACGAGTAATTTTATAGAAGTAATGAGTTGCGACCTGAAAGCAGTTTTTCCATCATTATGCCAGTTGTGCCGCTAAATAAATTATTAATGACTAAAGATGTGAAAAAAATGTCCCTTTTGGTTCTTAACTATTTATGAAATGACAAGATGTTCTTATATATGAGAAATGTTTTCTTCATTATTTAGTCATCTTGCGAGAAGGAACCAAAAGGAATTCTAAAGTCATCAATCTGCCGGGTGTTCCAGGGATTTGAACCCTTGACCTCAGCCTTGTCTCTTATCTCGAGACCTCCTATCTTTTGCAGTCTATCTATCTATCTACTGCAGCTAGGTACTGAAACTCAGTATATCACACCATGTTGGCTAAAACAGCCAGTCTGGTCCTCAAAAATGTGACAAGCTGGTTCTGACCCAGCTACCGGTATATCCTATCTATTTGT